CCCCAAAACCCCAAAACCCCAAAACCCCATGGTAAAAGATAGGGGTCATTATAATTATTTAGATATAAAATAATGTACTATAAATCTTTTGTAAAATTACAAAAAATTTTAATTAAATGATGGATATCAATTAAAATATTGCATTATTGCCTGAAGATCATTAGTATAGATAGATATATGTTGATTTTCGCTGATTAAGTCATAAAATTCCTATTAATGATTACCTCAATTTAGGCAATGAATTTATGTGATCATTATGATTTTGGATCTATATACTGTTATCTATAACGCCTAAAACATTTAAACAGTAATTTTCTCTCAGAGAGGTGGATATGAATGATAGCTTTGGCTTTCACTCAAATGCTTAAAACCTATCTATTTTAATTATTTGGAAGTGTTATTTGTGTGTTTATCTAGGAAAATATTGGAAATATTTTAACTATGACATTTGGAGCTGTTCTCAACACTTCATTCATGATTATATTTTTTACCAGCATTGAAATTAGAAAATCTAAAGAGTAAGAGCTGGGATTATTCTAATGGATTCGTTTATGCGATGATTTTACTTGCATCGGTATTCAATGGGTTCGGATAAGGTATATCTCAGCTTAGTCCGGTACCTACATCGCTCAATGTGCAAACAGAGAAGACCAAGGGTTTTTACTCCTCCTACTATAGGGCGTTTTACATGGGCTCTTAAGTTTTTGATAATTTAATTGTGCCTTTGTCTTAGGTTCTTCCGATTAAAAATACTCTGTCATTATCATAGCAGTTATAAGAATAGCTGGTTGCATATTACTCTTCTTTTTGAAAAGCCAGTTGTATAACTTCAGCATGACCATCACTTTGTTAAGGAGGACAAGAATTAAATTGATTTGAACGAGGGAGAGAAAGAAAAAGTAGAGGAGGTGAAAAGAGAAACTGATAATAATAAACAAAAAGGGGTAAGTAGGTATTCTTTAAAAATCAAAGACATTGACCTTAAAGTAAAGAGGTTGCATCAATAGGAAATTCTTTTTAATAAAAGATTCTTAGTTCTTGCTCCTTAATTTTTTTTAACTGTTATAAGTATCGCTTATTACTCTGGTGATTTGGTAGAAATGATATCAGATTTTTTAGGAAGGCAAAGACAATTAAGAACAGTTTAAGCTTTCTATGCTGGTTATGGTACTGTTTAAAGTTGGAGATATTCAGGGATACTTTTTAATTGGTTTTATTATAGACTGAAGGGTAATAAAGTTGCGGCATTATTAATCTAGTTATAAATTTAATAATGCGAGCTGTTACCATTACTTTCATTGAAGTCTATAAGTATGGAGCTCTTTTATTCGTAATGTGCTTCTTCTGGGGTTTCCGAGACAATGCAATCAATACTCACTCTTATGAGATTTTGGGTATTGAATACAAGAATAACTCAGATCCATCCTCATTTTATAATATCCTGCATTGTGACATGCTTCAAAATTTTCATTATTGAAAGTGCTAGAATGATTAAAAATAGTTACCATTATGGTTACTGGACTTGGATACATCTTCTGTGGAATGCCATTCTTCTTTGACTTTTATAAAAAACTAGACACTGAGACAGTGGATAATAACTTTGAGACAAGACCCAGGTAATTATCACTTGATAGCAATTGTCAAATAAACAGAATAATTCTAGATAGAGATGACTCATTTGAATAAAATAAAATTAAATGCAGGCATTCGAACTATTGGATCTTCTTCATTAGATTTATCAAACACATCTTTGTCTCTCTCAGATAGCATGCTTTAAAATTCTGTAACTAAACAACAGAAATTGATAATATAAATTGTTATTAATAATGAGCAAACAATATCCAATAAAAAGATCAAATATATCTTCAATCTATTTAGCATAATAGATGCTTCATGGGGTTTTGGGGTTTTGGGGTTTTGGGG